TAAAATTGACCTCAGAATAACCCTGAAAACCCCCGATGACCTTGACAATGCCGTACACTTTTTTACCACCACTATCCAACAAGCAATCTGGACTGCTTCCTCTCCAAACCACTCCTCAAGAACTCCCAAGAAAAATAAGTTACCTCAACACCTCATAGACCTAATCCATACCAAACGCCGTGCCAGATTATTATGGCAACGTACTAGACACCCCACCGATTTTCTTCGGGACCTATTAGAGACTGTGGACCATGAAGTCAATGAATTGACTCTCGATTCTCACGACTCGAGAGTTCCATCTCAAGAGGAGTCTCGCTAACTATTCAATGTTCAACCCTGAACATCAAGAAAAAATATTGTCAAAAGATGGTTCCAGTCAAGCATGTCCATTCTGCGAATCATCATCATTTAAAAATAAACGTGAACTTAAAATCCACCTATCCAAGTGACACCCGGTAGAAGCAAATAGGATCACACTTAGGTCAATTGAGAGGAAAAATAGAAATGAAAACGGTAAACAGCCATCAGAGAGCATGGTTGAGCTGGAAGTTAAGAAGTGGGAGACCATTTAAAGATCTGCTCAAGGCTCATTGGGATTTTGGCAACCTCGATTTAATTATGCGTGTGTTTCTTATTTTTCTTAGGGAGGCTAATAAAAGAGGCTAACTGGCCCAAAATACCCAGCTGTACGATTTTATCAGATGCGAAAAAAAAAGAAAAAAGAAAGAGCCGAGGAGAACGAAATGTCAGCAATCCTTAGAGATCTAATGCGGCCCTGGAAGCAGCGGTCCTCGAACGGCAGACAAGATTCTTTTTACTCAGAATAACATACCCTTTCGTAATTTACTATCAAACCTTCGCCTGCGATTTGCTCGATTTTTGTGCTTTGGCTCCAGGGTTATAGTGCCTAACATACTATACTACACTGGGATATTAGTGTAGTCACTAGCACTAGCGGATCCAGGATTTAATTTTTGGGGGGAGAGGGCTTCAGCTCGAAAGCTTTTTTTTTCAAATAAATAACGAGAATTACTTTGGAAAAAAAGAAAGAAACTAACTATCTATATGAAATGGTATTTAAGTGATTCCTAAATTCCTTTTAAATGTAATTACACGAACAATAATACTTTAAGAGATAATTTTATAATATTTTCTTCCATAAAACATGGTTATGTTTTACCATTTTGAGGGGGGGAGGGCTTCAGCCTCAAAGGCCCCCCGTAGATCCACCCTCGCACTCGTAAATGATGTCGGATTAACTTGATATTTAGTACACTTGAGTTTTCAAGGCCATGGAACACGAATATGACGTCAAAACTAGATAATTTACACGAAAAATGCCAAAAAAATCTCGATTTCTTTGTTTAAATCTGGAAATTTTTAAATTTGACAATAAATTAACTTCGAAAATGATAGAGACCTCATTAAACCCATGATTTTAGATACCTATTTATAACAACTGTCTACATTAATAAACAAAACCGATATTTTTTTATTTTATAATTATACTTTAAGAATATAATTATTGTATATTTATATGTAATAACTTAAAAAAATTTAAGTTATTACATATACTACTAAAAATTTAAAAACTATCAATAATGATATTTTGAACCTCATCGATACTTACTCTCATTTTCCAATAAAAAAATATGTAATTTTTTCATTAATTTTAAGGATTATATTTTAGGGACAAAACACCAAACAAAATTGAGCGGATTTCACCGCCAACAATGGTGGAATCATCTCAAACTGAGGTAAGTAACATGGACATTAAAAATAGTTATAAAAACAATGAAGTCGGCTCCTGGGAACTAGAGTTGGGCGTTAGCGAACTAACTTTTAACTAGCCAACGATCAGCTAAAAAGCTAAAATTAGCGGCGCTGAATATGAAGCTAATTTAGCTTCTAACTGTTTTACCGCAGTTAACTTTACAGCTAACTTTTAGCTTAAGCTAAATTAACTTAACTAAAAGCTAATTTAGTTGCAGAATTATCTGCCAGCTAAAACTAATTTAGCTGTTAGCTATAGTTAATTTTTGCCCAACTCTGCTGGGAACTGATTATTGGTCTTAAAAGACCTATGACAGATTCGATCGAGTCAAGAGCTCAAAAACGACCAAGAGAATCTATTCCAACCTCCAACAGTTTTCAGGTTCTAACCAACATAACTAATTTACAAACAGAAGAAGTTAGAAGACCACCTCAAAACGATAAAACTCCACCAATTTTTATAAACGGTGTTGAAAATTACCAAGCATTAATCTTATTTCTAGAAAACAAAACGGGTCTTAATAAGTTTAAAACGAAGTCTACATTGAAAGGTTGAATATTTTTACAATATTTTATTTTACATTAAATACTTAAACGTGCAGTACTCGTATTGTATGGAAAAATTATTTTG